ACACTGGAAGGGGTTGCCCAGAGAGGTAGTGGAGGCCCCATCCCTGGAGGCATTCAAGGCCAGGTTGGACAGGGCTGTGAGCAAGCTGATCTAGGTAGCGGTGTCCCTGCTCACTGCAGGGGGTTGGACTAGGTGACTTCTAGGGGTCCCTTCCAATCCAAAACATTCTATGATTCTATGATTCATCCAAAAACTATTTATCATATACTTCTTTTATGTACATGTCTATTTTTCCTCTTTAAAAAAAGCCACTTTGAGTTTTCCTTTAGAATACCAGTTTTGTCTATTATTTCCCCATAAACACACTATTTACTATTGGTCTGAGTTAGATAATACATCAATAAAGAAAAGGTGTTAAGCTAATTCAAATCTTAATTATTTTTTGGAAGAAAGCTTATCAATTAAAATACAAGAAACAGTTATAGCCAAAATTATATTGTGGCTCTACTAAAATAAATGATCCCTAAGCAATGTGTGTAAGCAATTGGCTTTGTTCTCTGAATCTATTAAATACATTATCTATCATATGTCTACAAATAAATGAAGAAAAGTTTTAAACACTTCTAATTTAACGGTCCTCCTTCAAATCAAAACTTTTTTTTTTACAAGAACAAAGTCATTCTTTCTGCATGCATTAAGAGTTAGTTTAGAAACTCTTCTTTCTGTGTGTAAAAAAATACAGAATAGCACTAAAATATTTAGACTATTTTTGTTAAAGTGTGAACTGTTTGAAATAGATGCACATTAATCCAAATCATTCTTTATAAAAAGCACTCTCTGAAGAATAAGCAATGTAATAGCTGTAGGGATACTGTCATCATGTAAGTGAATTAAAACTGTACTTAAACTGACACATTTTTCAGCCTTAGTGGTTTTGTTAGAGATTCTTAGAGAACATTAGTCTGAAAAGTATTTGCCATGCAAAAGCTAAAAGCAGCTTGTCAAAACAAACCTCAAGGCTAGTAATGAGCATTAGTTTACAGACAGCCCAGCATGAAGCGCCAGTATGATAGCTTCAGAAATGACTCTGAAATAAAGTGAATGATAATTCACAGAAAGTGGCTGTACCTGTCTGTTTTTGCTTAACCCAGACTTACACAGCTTTGAGAAAAGGACAAAACATTATGAAAAGAAAACAACAGCTTAAAGTGACATCAGAAAGGTTGAACATACAGATGACATGCTTTGAAGTAAACAGAGGAAATCAGCATTAGGACAGAAACAGGGCATTTTCATAATGTGATGAAACTTTTAAGAAAGACCTTCAGAATACACATTTAGAATATGCTATACAATATTATTTTCTTATGAGCAGACTACTCCATTTTACACTTGTAAAAAAGCGACACTTGCTGTATTTTGTTTGCATAAAAGTTTTACATTACGTTTCTCATGGAAAATCCTGGTTTTAACCATTCTCCTGCCTTTTCAAGATCACATTATACCACCAGTGTATCCCAAATAACTTTGGAACCTTGCATCTAAGCACACACTCCCCCACACACCCCCAAAAAAGCAAAAGGTATTTCTTTTAAGAACCAATATTCAAAGCACAAAAATGTTATGTAAAAGCACCTGGAAAATCCATGTAAGAAAACTTCCATGTCACACACTTTCATTCATGCTCAAACTTTTGAAAAGCACTTCCAGTTTCTTAATGAGTATCATATGTTTATCTGCACTACATGCTCTGGGTCATTTTAGTTCTCATTCAAAGCCCACATGCTACGTCCTAGGGTATTACATATTCAATACAGTATGAAAAACTTATTTAAACAAAGTAATTCTATTGCAACAAGCTGCATCCTAACAAATCATTAATTAACAATGCAAACTAAAGCACACAATTAAGTTTTTGACAGATAACCACTCCTAATGCTAGTTTGGTTTCTAACCTAATGAGATATTGGTAACACTACAATCCAATGATAAACTCTTCAGAAGAGCACTCTAGAGTTCTAGTTTTTGCAGTGCTTGTCAGAAATAACCATTTGTACAGTAAAGTCAGCAGAAATGCATTTTTGCCTCCATCACAGATATGCAAAGGTTGACGTCTTAAGTCGAGCCTATTTTCGTTAGTGATTTAAGCCAATGCCCTAAAATTTGCAATGTACCTTCATGTTGATACAACTAGATCGATGGCATTGGTCAATTTACCAGTTTGACATCGGTTTGACATGTGGTTTTGATCCATTCAGTAAAGAACAGTAAACTACAGTCTGAGATAGACATCAGCAACAGAATCCAAATATAGAAGATCACAGGAGACAAATAATTGATACAAGATGACTGCTCTCAAAATATTTCTGATTTCCACTAAGCTAACCTAGACTTACACTGATTTTACAAGACTAATGATTAGGATCTGAAATTTCAGAAATCTGTCAACTCCAGTGTCAGACTGATAACAACGGCAAGGCCTTAACTAGATCCTGTGACACCCTCGGCACAGCTCTGCCAACTCATGCAATGAGCAGCAATGATGATCTGCGTTAAAGAAAAAAAAAAAAAAAGGTACTCCTGAAGAAAATGGTTTTTGCCTTGTAAGACTTAGAACATTCAAAAGAATGATTACTCTCTATTTTACACAGATGTAAAATTGCAACATTTCTGGCTCCTTGCCAGATTTGCATGAAAGACAATTTTGATTCTACACGCTCCTCTTGTTTTCAATCATCAAACCAGTTACACATCTTGGTGTTCATTAACTACTTGGTACAGTTCTTTTAGTTTATTTCATTCCTTTGCATGTGCCAATCCATTTAATAAGTAAAAGCTGTACCATTTACATAGTGGCAATGACCATCAATTAAGATCTACCTAAGTAACTGGACGAAATTGTTGTTCCCATCACCTCTGTACAATTGCAGTACTTAAAACACATATAGTACTGTTTTCTTTCAAAGAAATTGCAGTAAAGCCTACAGAAGAAGCAGTTTTAGAATAGATGAAACCCTGGTGAGGTATCCTGTCAGGCACACGCTCTTCTTTAGTGAGAGGGTGGCCAAACACTGAACAGGCTTCCCAAAGAGGTGGTCGATGCCCCAAGCCTGTCAGTGTTTAAGAGGCATTCGGACAAGGCTCTTCACAACAGGCTTTAACTTGTGGTCAGCCCTGAACTGGTCAGGCAGTTGCACTAGATGATCATTTTAGGTCCCTTCCAACTGAAATACTCTATTCTATTCTAATACCATACCCTGACTAACAACATTCTTGCAAACTACCCAAGAGACTTAAAATTAAAAATGTTATATTTACACTGTAGGTTAAATATTGCTAAGTCTTAGAAAAGCATATGATCTGATGTGCTGCGCTACACAGATTCGCTGTAGTATAAATTAAACTCAAAAATAGATCTAATAAAATCCTCCATTATCATTACTTCAAACAAGATTTCCTTTTAATGTTCTAACTCTATTTTTTTACCTACAGCCAATAGACTACATAACTTACCTGAGACTTTTAAGTTGCTGCTTGAAACTGCAGCCTACGCGTGCTTAAGATACACACTCAGAGCAGCAAGCAAAAGAGCAGCCAAGTCCAGGTCTGCTGCTGGAGCTCATTCAGCTACTTTGCCCTGAGACTAAATCCCATTGTTCCAGTCCTGTGTCCCTTCTCACACTCACGGATACACACATACTCCAGCCATCATTCTACTACTTTCTCAAAAGTCCTTACTTTTTGTCCTTGCACTGACAAGCTGCAAAGGACTGGGAAGAAAGTGGGATACTGAGATAAGGAAGCAAACACAGGGAAGGCATCAGCATCTCCAAAAATATACTACCAAAAAAACTTACTCCAAAGTCATCCCTTCACACAAGGTAGCTAATGACCTGGAAGAGAGAACTTTAGGGTACATTTTTCATTGTATTGCTCATACATGGGTGCTCAGTAAAGGTTATGTGCGGTTAAATACAGTTCTGGAATTTGTGTGGGGGAGGGTTTCTTGCACAACAACAGAAAGACATTTTTGCAGTGATTTACTAGAAGGAAGAGTAACCAAGATCAAACTGTAACTGCTGCCAACAACTATGGCAGCAAGTATTAAGAGAATCAATCATATTAACCTATTTTTTTTGGTAATAAATCATAATTTTCCAATGATTCCCAGAGTTAAAACAGATACCCATAAAGAAGACATCTTTGTGTGAATACTTAGAATAAAACAACAAGTTATGGAAAATGTAGGTGTTAGCATTCTGACTCAAGAATAAGCTTATGACCAGCATTTTTTTTTTTTTTTTTTTTTAGTTTCTGTTGGAAGTTGCTTTATACTGTGTTAACTGCAATAGCTTTATGTCACCGATTAAAGGAGTAGGGGTCAGGTGAGAGAGCTGACTAAAGCACAAAACCCACAGTTACTTCATTCTAAAATCTAAGCGCTGAATGACCAGCTGTCATTCTTCACTGTGTAGCTACCACAACACTTTTTTACTGAAAGCTCACCATAACTACTGAGAAAGGCAAGGAGAAAACTACAGGGGAAAAATATAATACATCTTATAAGTGAAATATTAGCTCTTAAATTCATTCACGAACTACATTAGTTTTCAGCTACTCTATTTGCCCACCAAAGCCACTGATGCAGTGTTAGTGAACTGCAGTTATGATTAATGCAGACTCATTACTGCTGAAAAAGCAACGAGATGCTAAAGTTTCCACACCACATGACTACTCATTTACCATTGAGGGGTCTGTGGGTGAAGGAAGCCCCTCATCAGCATCCTCCTTGATAACATCCTAACAACAACAAAATATTATGGTTTGGGTAAAATGATCAAGGGCTCAACAAAAAAATATGAAGTAAACAGTGAATGAGAATGATCTCTTAGCAATATATAATTCAACAGAAACACATTTGTCTTCTTTAAGTCATTAAAGATTTCACCACCTTTTAATAGCTTTGGTCGTTGTATCAATATCCTAGAAATAAACTGATTGACAAGTGAAGCTTTTACTTTTTTAGCATTCATTCCTTAGTTATTAATTCCGTTTGAACAGCCACCTGTCAGTAAAATAAACACTGTTAAATAGGAATTTATTATTCTATAGAAAACTAGAAAAGTCTGCTCGTTTTTCCTTTTCAATAAGTGAATAAAAGTTGAATTAAATGCACTTACAAAAACAAGCTACAACTAATGCATATTTAAGATAAAACGTATTTTGTTTTACTTAAATATTTAAAATATTTCTTTTAAATTTTTACTTTGACCTTCCAATTTCCAGTATTCTCTACAACATTAAAGGATGTAATTTCATCTTATAAAATGTGAATATAAATTTACAAGTAGCACTCTTTTCTTATGATATTACACTATATCAATTTCTTTACTGTAGTACAGCTAGCATTTTCATTAATACATTTTCCTGCCAATATTACAGGTCATACTCCTCTAATCTTGATACCTGGATGTTAGAATTGGTTTTCCTCTCTAAGTAATTTCTAAAGGTAAAACAAAATACATTTTACATTACATGTCAATAACACCTTTGCTTAAACTATTTGTAATACAGAGCTTTTACTTGTCTAATAGTGAATCACCATTAATAACCTTCATTTTCATTATTCACTATATTTATTGTCTAGGTTAGTATTTGAATTATCCTTCAAAATACTTACTAGGCCATTGTTCTGATCTCTGGACAAACTCGTTTTTAGTGGTGGACGTGAGATGAGATGAGAACTGCCAGGGTAATACCTTGGCATGTAAAGATATGGGGCAAAGAATGGCTATGGGAAAAAAAAAATGTAACAAAAAAAGGGACAAACAATTACACAAATCAAAATGTAATAATAAAATAAAACTTATTTCAACAAAACACATCCTCTGAGTTTAATAAAGTGAAAAACAGCAATAACTAAGAAGTTTCTTTACTTTTTGCATTGAACAGAATTCATTAAAAGCTCTGAAGTGAGTTCTTCAAAATCCTTCAGTGCCAATGGGTGCTCTGGCATGGTATTCTGCGGGAACAGAGTTGGAGTGGGTTTGGTAGCTACACTCTAACATCTGTTTTGAGTATGGGAAAAGGATCATTTAAGGATAATTCAGATAATTTCACTCTCTCAGACCTGCTAAACCCAAAATCAGATGCTCAGTAAACTTACAATGTTTCATAATACTGAAGACAACTGTACCAAAAGAAAAGGAGCGACGCATAATAGCATCACTACAACTTTGCATATTTGTGATAACCAATCTGAAGGCTTCCACAGATTTTATAGATTTTATAAATCTATAGATAATTTTTATAGCAGACAATATTTGAGCTTTGTTTTGTTGGAAATATGTCAATGCATGTTGTTCAATACAAATATAATTTTAAAGGACAATGTCAATTATCATAAAACAGATATCAGAAACATTTTTTAAAAACAGAAATACTTTTTTTTCCTCTCCACAAATATCAGTTAACTCTAACCACAATTTTTATAACCAGGTTCCTTTTTATCCCTTTTAACTAACAAATTTCAAGAACGTAAACACTATCCAAGTTTCCAAAAGTCTTATCAGCACATCAGTACAGAGGGTCCAAATGAGAACTCAGACTTTTAACAACATCACTTCTAGAAGATATAGAGATCTCAAAATTACAAATAATATACTTCCAACAGAGGACTCCATATGCTCCAATCTTTCAAGTTTTAAAATCAACTGTAAAAACATGTTCCCTGAAATTCACATGCTACCCACTGGCATGCAACAAAACCTCTATGTGCGTGTACGCACAAGCATGCATTTAAGAGTTATGAACCTTACAACTGCACAAACTGCTTTTCCAATATCTTAAGGCAATGCAATGGAAAGCAATAGAGCCTTTAGACTTCAGGAAAGGAGAATTACAGTGCTCATTGCTTTCAATCCATTACCCAGTTCTCAAAAAAAAAAAACAAAACAAAAAAAACCCACAGAAAACTCAAAATAATGTCTGTATTACAGATTTCTGATGTTTCTATACATAGCATTTAAAAAATTGTATTACTCAGCCATTTAACAAAACAGAATATACTACTTGGTTTGTGTTTCTGCACATGACAAGATTCTAAGTAGTCTACTGCACCAAATTCAGCATGACTTGATGGCCAATATAGGAGGGAGGAGTAAAATTTGTTGAAGCGTTCCACTTTGGATTTGTCTATAAGGACTAAAAAAAAAAAAACTGTGTTCAGAAGCAGCTGTAAACAAACTGAGAAATTAAAGTTTCATTCCTGCAAACATCAACTACTTAGATGGCATATGCTACAACTTTGAGTAATTTCTGGAAAATACAAATGGTTCCATATTCTTAGCTGCTAGAGGTAGCCTTTACACACACTTTCACACAGTTACCACAAAAAGTTCATATGCTCTTCCAACATATGACATGACACGATATGCATTGTAACCATTCATCTAAATGTGGAAGTTTGTTTTGTTTTAAATAGGTAAGAGAACCAATACCTAGCTTTTGCCTTACATTTATTAGTTAGTATAGGACGACTCAGAAAATTCATTGATTTGTAACTATTTCACTGTCATAAGGCACAGATTCTATGGTATTTTCTGGAAATGAAACTCTCTTCAAAAAAGTTCATGTTATTTCTAGAATAATTAAGTGCCTCAGTTTTCCACTAACAGCTTAAACCACGTAGAAAACCCCCAAGCATGAAATGCTTAATGATCATACCGCATTCAAGTGCCTAGCTCTCTCTGCAAAGACTATCCTCTGAAACAGAGAGCGAGCACCTGTTTGTTGGTTGCGAGTCATCAAACTACAAGGCAATGAAAAAGATTTGTCCAATAAGGCAATTATCCCACAATTCTTTCATAATTTCTAATTATGCCTTGAGCCCACTTCAGCTACTCCACTGCTTCCCAACGATGGGATTAATTCTCCATTATAGGCTTGAACTCTACAGCCTCGATCTTCATTTGAAGTACGGTAATACAGATATTGTGAAAAGAAGAGATCAATATAAATACATGTTGGTCATAAACCAATGTAGAGCTATTTGCAGATTGCCTATAAAGCATAAGTATGGTGTTTATTCTTTTTCCAAGATATCAAAGAATTTGCTTCTCTTTTACAAAAAAAGTCTTCACATACGGTAATTCTAGTTCCCACTCAGGAAATTAGACTTCCCTACTACTCTGACCTTCCCAATAAGAAACATGATCACCACAATGATCCATGATAGAAGCAATTTTGAGAATCTGAACTTGAATTCAACTTGTAGCCAGGCCATTAGACAGTGATAAAATGTACACATCCAGCACAGTCCTATACTGAGCGCCAAGTTCAAGACCTGCTAAATGGGACTATAATCTTTCTTTTACAGCTATACAGAGGGAGAATGGGGTTTTAAACCAAAAATTAATAGATTACATCACTGGAAGTTCAAGGTCCATGACAATAGGAACATCTAAAGAACAAAGCAGAAACATACATAATAAAAAAACCTGTATTTCCTAAAAATAAACAGAGTTTTTTCCCCAGCAGCTGAAAGGCTTTTTTCTTAAAAACAAATGAATGCTTAAAGAGAACAGGACAGGAACCATTTACTGGTCAGAATAAGGCATCTATCCCCAGAACGCAGGGCATTTTTGCATACAATTCAAGCATTTCCACAGAAGCATTTGAACCCACTGTGTTATGTCATACGGGTAGCCAAGACCCCTCTCAGAAACTTCTACTGGGGAGAGCCTATTTTTCAGTTGCTGTTCTTTTTTTAAACACCATTCTTACACAAACTTGAGGAAGTGAAATATGATTGAAAATGCCGAAGGAAACAACCTTTCAGTCTAAATTTTCTACTATTATAAGGTTCTCATCACTTATCTCAGTATGTGGTGTCAATGACAGTACCTTTATGACTCTGAAGTAATGAATATAGCTCTGTCAGTATTTGAAAGTGTGAAACGCTAGAAGCAATTATACCTTAGAAGGGCACTATAAAATTCCAGAGAGAAAGGCCAAACCAGAAGTATTTCAGTCTTTGGCAGGCAAAAAAGTAAGCAGGCCTGTAAGCCTGTGTATGCACTTAGTAGAAATGAACAAATAAACTGATTGTAAGAACAGCTTATGACTCACCAATATTTGCTTTTGTAATGCTTATTAGAGCCAAAAAACCATAATACAAGTTTCAACTGTGTATCACCCCATATTTTAAACCTTGTCATGTACAGCAACACAGACACAAAAACAGGGCTTCCAATTAAACACCTACTTTAACAAAGCTGAGCCAGTATCAGCATGAAGATTCATGCGGCAAGCATTTATCAGTGTTGGACTATTTCAAAGTATATGTCATTTTAAGTTATTTTCAACAAAAGAGTGTATTGTCACTGTATGGAGGGTATATAAGAATAACTTTAGAACAGGTAGCAAACAGTTCTGTGCTACATATACTCTTTTCTGCCTTGGTTAACAACACCGATTTAGGAATAACTCAAATTTCTTTCCAGTTTATTAGCTTAAGCATTTACCTACAGTCAAAGCTACTTGAAGTTGAGGCCATTTCCTGTATATAGAAGTAAGCCATGACTTATATCAGCTTTCTACTTTTTTTTTTCCTGATAGTACTGCAGAAGTAAAAAATAAAGTTTAAAAATAATTAATACATCCCACAGAAATAGGAAGTTTAGACTCAATCTAACTATACAGTAGAGTACTTCATTCAATTTTCAAGTGAGCCACGCCCAGGACTATGTTTTCTGAGGCCCACAGATAGCCCAAAGATGTATGTTTTATGCAACTTATGTTAATTCCTTTAAACTAGCACAACACTGGTTTAGGGAAAAGATCCCAGAATAACTTTAAAAAGAGACAAAAGGGAAGACAGACATACATTCTTGTGATGCAGCTCCCCACTTGAGCCTCTGTATTTTAACCAAAGTCACCAAGAAAAAGCTGGGATCCCTTCCAACATCTCTGAGCAAGTATGTGAACGATTGAGCACAGTTTACCCCACAAAAATAAAAAAAATCCAGCAGTATCCTACAATTGAGCAGTGTCTCTAAAGGATTTGAGCTTTCTTCCCCTTGTGTAATTTGTTTTTCTGATGCAATTTACCACATTTCTCCCTCAAACTACAGTGACTGAACACTACTGTGAAATTTACCAACTTTTGGACTTTTCACCATTCTTAAATAAAACTCACATGGGTCGTTTAACATTTTATAGATGGCATCTGCAATATTACGACATTAAATCAGAAGAATGTTAATTGGTTCTCGATTATTTACCCGATTGTAGAATGGATGCTGAGGTCCTGTCATACCACTATAGTAACTGCTATGAGGTTGCGGTGATAAAACTCCACTATTGAAAGGTCCATTGAAAGAGGTTGTAGAAGAGCAAGCTGATGAAGGCTGACTGAACAGAGATGTTGCTCTAGCAGGTGCCTCATGTAAAGGCAATGTGGGATAAGGAAGTCCTCCAATATTCATTTGATCTCTTGCAGCACGAACATCTAAAAAATAAAAAGGTAAAAAAGAATGAGATTTTGTTTGAAATATTTGAAAAAGTTTTGATTTGCCAACTCATTACAGTATGTTTTTGTGTATTTAACTCCAATCAGAACTCATCAAGTAGAATATCAAATGTCACTTTCGGCAGCATTTGGTTGATTCCTCTTGAGGATCACACATACACAGGAGTCTTCCGGAGAGTTAGGACAATTTATTGCATAAATCTGCGTAGCATATCAAATGGCTGTCAACATTCTTTCTCAGAGAGAACAAGTTGCAGCTCCCAACCCAAATGGGAAGAAATGCAGGAATACATCATGCCAGGTATGTCTCTTATGGTAAGTACGTCTGAGGTGATAGACCTGTACTGTTTCTGAAGAGATTAATGAGACAGAGCTTGTGAACAAAAGTTACGCCATCCCACTGCAGCTATCAAGTGCAGAGAAGGAAGTTGGAAAAAAGTAAGAACAAAAAGGATTCCAGGTGAGGACTGAAGACAAGTGTCATGACAGAAAAGACAGGCAAAGAGAACTACTAATACCTGAAATCAGTTCCCATCTAGAATACTGACTGTCATACCAAAGACCCACAACAATTCTATTTTAAATTTAAAGTTCTGGTTTTCTTCACAGCTTTACCAACTTTTAACAGGTCGAAATGTTAAGATGCCTTAGCCTTACTCCAGAGCCAACAGTAATCCCTAAGACTGGGCAAGAAGTACTGTACCATGCATCCCATCAATCCACAGCAGCAGTGAGCAGTAAGAACACTTAATGCCAAGTGGAGTGTTTTTGCAGATCAGAACATACCTGAACCTGACTGCATTTTTTACAACTACAAGCTAGTAAAGATACCTGCTTAACAACCACTGCACAATAAATAACACTTGCCCTAGGATGAATTTAAACATCATACTATAGCAGACTAAAAAATAACTCACGGGTACCAACTGTACAGGAATCTAGCGGGGTATACATCAAATGGAGATGTTCTACTTTGGTTCACTGGCTTCGGTTCTACAGGATATTACTAATGCTATTCAAAATTGTTAACAAAGATCAAGAAGTCAACTCGCATCTCTATTACTAAAACATCATTGTGTGTATTGCTTTCCTCCATCTGCTAAAGCAGTCTTCAAATCAAGAACAGGGGATTCCTCCCTCCAAGAGAGATACTTTAGTCCAGTATGATCTGTCCTTTAGAGCAAAGCTATTAAGTGAAGCTGAATGGCCTGTTACCGAAGTCAACTCGGACAATCTGAACGTCTGCTTTGACGAACAAATCAGGATTCTGCGTAACATGCAAAGCAGCTCTACCTAAAATGATAAGAAATAATACAATTGTCATTTTCCATTTATTTGAAAGCATACTCACCTGCAATGATTTCTCGTAGCTTGGGATCTAAGTTTACAGTACATGGCAAAAAGGTTCTTACATCACGTGCAACAAGAACAGGTGTTCGAGAAGATAAAAATACTTCAAAGTTCCGTATATCTCCATCAATTTCAAGTAGAGGTTCAACATCTTTAGTTGTAGGAATATTCTTTGAAATTCTGGGGGGGAAAATTAGATAAATCGTAAATGGTGTTTATTACAGTATGACTTCCATTTGCATAGTGATATTCTAGGGTGAAATACTAGTACATTTGCATCCATCCTCCTTGTTCTTTGGAAAACATATAGAACCCATGAAGAGCTGCACTGTCTATGGAAAGAACAATTTAACATTTTCTAATACGCAAAAAATCTCAAACTGCTAAGTAATCCGATCTAATTGTACCTTCAGAGAAGTCTCAAAGAAGCCATACAGAAGACTAAAATCAGATCAGGAATTTAAAGATCAGTAACATCAAATCCAAGGTAAGGGGAAGTTAACATTTGTCAACATTAACCCCAAACATCCATTCAAATTCTGGTAACTCGATCAGAAATTCTATAGCTAAATCTCATTTTTGAACTAATGTTTCTTGTAACAGGAACACTCAGACATCTTAGGCATTGATCAAAACCCAACTGTGCAAGATTTCATGGTAAAAAGTGGAAAAACAAACCACCTGCTTTCAAGTAATTCACCTTCTAAGACAAGAAGCCACAAACAGAAGAGAACAACGAAGCAATGAGGCATGATCGATATAAGGGACTGCTGATACATTATGACTATTGTCAAGCAATGGTGGGGTTCTTTTGTAAGCACTAGAATAAAGGACAGTCTTTGGAAGGAACAAGGAGAAGGAAACATCAGAAATGTAAAAAAACCCAAAACCACTATTGCACACTTTAGTTATATATATTTACTGTGAGTATTCTACAACACTGGCAAAATGAAAATTAAGTCACTCTTTAAGTCAGGGACTGAAGAGTTAAAGAGTGGCCTACTTCAACACTTAAATCTACAAAATAAAAAGCCAAAAGAGAATGTGACATAGATTTAAATAAAACACACAGCTGATGAATCACATGAAACAAATTAGCTGAATTTTAATGCCAACTCTACTTAAGTCTGAATGCGAATAGTGTTCTGAATATGATGAACAAAGCTACTGTTCAGAAGCCAATAGCCCACTGCTGGTGTGCAGATTGAAGTCTCTATTCTAACCTCCTGAGCTCAATGTCTTAAACTACGCCTTTGAAAGAAATATTTATGTAAATGATAATCTTTTGGCAAAGAGCCACAAAAATCGCATGTGCCTGTACTTCTCAGATAAAAAATAAAAGGTTAGCATGTAAAGCACTTTAGGAGTTACTTTTTCTAAAATATAAGCACACAGATCTAAAAATAAAGCACTGTGAACACCCTATTCTCATTTTGGGGCTAGATTTTCCTGAGGCAGAAGAATTATTCTTTAAATCAGAAACATCAAAAACTGTCAGTGTTACAGAGTGTCTGTTTCCACAAGAAACTACTTGAATTTAAAAGGAACGAGCCCAAAACAGAACATTACAGTGACAGAAGAGAACCTTAAAAATTCATTTCACTATTCTGCACGTGTCCTTTCCATGAACAGCTAAAATTAAAAACTGCTTTCAGTGTGGACTGTTATACTCCAACAATGATGGATTATTTCTGGCTTTTTCCTCAAGTAAAAATAATTTACTACCAGCATATATATGTATGTCATCTTATCTTCCGTTCAAGAGACTGTGAATTTGCTCCCAATTTTTTCTAGTTTATGTTCACCTTGCACTTCCACAACTTGGAAAATAACCACCATGGTCCAACAGTGGGTCCAGCACCAAACGTTGTCAGCATCGCTTAGATGCTAGGCTGTTGGGCTATACATGACACAGCCTACCTAGTCACCACCTACTGCAGGAGATCGTTGCCACTGCAGGATGGTGCTCCTTCACCATCCAACCAGGTGGTGGTAAAATGGCAGCAGCACCAACTACCTTCATCCACACTGAAGGCTGTGCTTTGCCCACATTCCCTGTTCGGTTGGTTATGTCAGGCCCTGGAGTATGCCAATAGGCTCTACCACCTCTTCCCCTCACCCCTGGCCAGGGGTTTCGCTGCCTGTGCTCCAGGCTAGCTCTGATACAGTGCAGGTGAGTAACCTAGGATGGAACTGCTCTGATAAGAGTTGCAAGAAGCTTCGCTGGAGGCCTCTCTTGCATGACTCAAGAACTGCCTTCAAGCTCAGGCCTTTGCCTGAGCTACACCTATATGCACCTCACTGGTCTTGACCTTGACTCACTGACTTGCCTTCCTGGCTTGACCTAAAACATGCCTCGTGGCTACAGACCATGGGGCTGTTTGCTGTCCCTGGTTACTGCCACCTAACCTGCCCTGATCTTCCAGTTTGGTGACTGTGGGACTGCCCCCCCTTGCTCATGAGGACAACGCCCTGCCTGTCCTGCTGTGCTCCTTGGCTCCTAGTTTGCCTTCTCTCATGGAGCAGCTTGACCTGATCCTCCCAGACCTCCCTGCTCTTTGCAAACCTCTCTCCCTGAAGGTGAAAACAAAGAAATTTTACAAATTACTCTTTGCACACCTAATTTTTTTTCAAGTACCTACGTGGACAAGAGTCATTTAATTTTTGCACTCCTTAAAAAGCAACAGACCTAATTAATTGTTATTAAATAATAAATAGAGCAACAGAAGGCATGAGCATGAAGGCATGTCATGTTTTATCTATCACGTGCATTTTAAATGTTTCTCTCAATACAGTTTAAGACAAAAATGTTGCTTAAAATAAAGAAATAACTTCCCGTTAAAAATGACACAAAATATTTCGTCTAAAGGTTTGATATTGAGAAACAGAAAACTAGAAAAACTGGGCCACTCTGGAATGCAATATGAAATTTTGATGCTTAACAGTCTGCTAATTAGACATCTGATTTCTAATACCTAATAATGAGATACTAACAATATTAAGTTATCTATCCTATTCTTCTCACGTCCTGTCATTATAGTGACAGTGTATCTTTATGCCAAAGGGTGCACTTTTTCTGGATTAAAAGTTCCACAGAAAACACTCCAGAAAATTTGCAGTACTATCAACATACCAAGAATCGTGCTGCAAATATTGTTTCAAACTGAAATTTGCAACAGGTTATTTAGACATTGAAAAACAGCATTTGCTCATATACACACTTGTATAAAGGCAGGAATAAAAAGTCATCACATGCCCAATACTAAAATATATGGGAATCAATGTTTTACCTTAATAATGACCAAAAAAAGAAAGCTATAGTTTGATATATCTATCTAGACAAAAATTATAAACCCCTTAGTGCATATTAAGCAGTACAGAGACTTCACTGAACAGATGCAATAGCTATTTAAAAACTCCTGTTACTGTAGGTATTCAGGAAAGCTTGCTTTGCAAAACCAACTAACTATCCAATTCAAGTACCAGTAGCTAAAGCACCTCTTCCGAGTGTTCCTGCTTTTGATCATTTCAGAAAGAAAAACCATTCTGATCCTTAAAAGATTGATATTTATTAAACTAATCTCCCATGTCCGGTATCACGCACTGTCACTGTGCCATATTAAAAAGGTGTATTTTTAATACAACCTTCCAGAATACACCCTACACCAGCATCCTTTATAATTAAAAGAAGTGTTAATACAGTTACAAATGTGTGGATTCATTCACAGCTTTGCAGGGCTATTTGAATTACAGAAGGCAAAAAAAAATTTAAAAAATCAATACATTTATTACACAGATGGAAAAGCAGCAAACCAGAGTAGCACAGAAGAATCAAAGACTGCTCAAAGCTGATCGGTAAACAAAAAAGTAATTATGTCTCACTAACCTGCAAGTCCAACAAGATCACTCATGCAAATGAAATACAAGAATACTAATCTGGTTTTAGTATTTTCATTACTGAACGTCAGTTACAAAGCTACTTTATGGCCTTATGCAGGGATTCTTTTATTCAATGCCTCCACCTGCAGGACTTCAGACATTCAACAGATATTTACAGGTCCTCTAGCATTAGTAATGGCAATGGTTCATCCTAGTGTCCAGCACAAGATTCTTTTCTGGGGCTACGTTATGGCATACAGTTAAATCTGAGGACCAGGCAAAAGGACACTCCTCCTCCAAAAGTCCATGGCAAACACTTCACTCACAGAAGCACGAGTTACACTTCTCAGAGTAAGTCAAAGACTAATCCGTCAATCTATTGCAAATGCTACCCAGAATTAGACGGCAAAAAGGCACAACCTACAGTAATAGGTTAATAACCAAAATTCAAGTCAACCAGAACCACAGACATATTACTTCCTTTACACAGCATTTGGATTACCTGTTCTGTTCCTTATACTGCCCTTCTGAAGCAGCTTCTTACAACAGAGTTGATGTAATAAGGCAAATTTATTGTATATATATGAGCAAGTTGCGGCAAGGAATACTAGAGCATCAGCTTCCAACGAACTTGATATTCTGTGCTACTGCTCAGCGGTAGTCATTTACAGCAATATGAGACACAAGTCCTTTTCGAATATGAAGCAAGTATTTTATCTCCCCTTTTTTTCCTGAGAGACAGATTACATCACATTTATTGTGAGGCAAGAGCCAGGATATGGGCCCCTAGCAGTATGTAGCTAAAAAGATGCATTTCCAGCTTATCATCTTACTTCACAATGTTTTCCCATGTTCTCAGGTTTTGAATAAATATTCTACTTTTGACAAAAATGTTCAGCAGCCACAAAAAGCCATCATCTCCAATTTCACTTCCCAAGTTTATCAATTCCCCAAAAAGTACAGAAGTCTCATGAATTGACTCAGACAGGTTAAATAGAAGTTTTCTTTCCTAAAATTGTTTACAGTGTTGCTAAAACTAAGGCCTCCGTGTTCCACCCTGAACTAGTATCAGGCAGTGGTGCTTGGAGGGATTTGAAATACACACAGGAGCATTTTTGAGAGATGTCATTAATGCACATTAACTACACCATACGTATTTAAAATTATCTGGAAAGTGTTTTAGAAATACGACTTATTATTCTTTATTACAAAGGTAACTAAAAAAAGCTAAAAATACTCTTCTGTCTTGTTCCGATTAGCTTTTGCTCCAATCCTTTTTATCTGAACTTCTTTCTTACTTG